GTGACTTCTCACGTTTTGCAGACAATGCAAAGGCAGAGTACATTAACTTCAAAATAGGGGTAAAGGAAAGCTCTTTTCATGCAGAGCTAATCAAAATGACCACAGCTGATTACAGCTGAAAGTCAAATGGCTTTGTGTGCCATTGAGAAGGTTATTAGCTACACTGAACACCTCGACTAAGGCCAAGCTGTCCAGGGAAGGTCCTCGGGGGAGCTTTGCCATGTTTGTGGAGTGGGTGCTGGTGAACTGTGAATCACCTTTTACCATCGGCCCCATGGAGCCCCACTCCCGACTCAGGAGACCAGCCTGCCATCACCCCGCTGCACGGAGCATCTGCCAGAGCCCACCGACATGTCTGACAAGGTACACGAGCAGGCAACATTATGTATCGCCGTGGGAGTAATTGTGGAGTACGAGGGCATGGAGTGAAGTCCCGTTCACACTCCCGCTGCTGAGGGTGAGCTGCAGCTGGCCACTGGAAATATTTTGAATATTTTTGAAGGGGATAAATTCCTGTATTGCCCTGAATCATCTGTCATCCCGCTGGTTCTGTCCAGCCCTGAATCTCCTGAGCCTCCTGTGTTCCCTTCCCGCCTCCTCTCCATATGTCATCCAGTTCTTCAGCCCTGTCTCAGCTGGTTCCTGCCAGCCCCTCAGCTCACCTTCAGTCAGTGCCATCCTGGAGCTTTGTCTCACCTCAGGGCTTCCAGTCTCCAGCTCTGCCTTGGCATGAGGATCCTCTGTCTCCGCCTCTGGCCTCTGAGTCCTGAATTCCTCGTCTCCACCCTGGCCCGTCATCCCACTGGCTCCACAAGGCTCCCACGTCCCTCCAGCTCCACCTTGGTCAGTCATTGACCCTCCTTTGCTATGGGATTTCACTCTTACGGCTTCGCCTTGTTCCTCCATCCCTCTGGCTTTGTCTGGCTCCTCCTTCCCTCCGGTTCCGCCTTGGTCCTCAGTCACTCCGGCTCCGCCATGGTCTTCCAGATCCCGGCCTCTGCCTCAGTCGCAGTAGCCGTTGACTCCGCCTTGGCCCTCCAGATGCACAGTGTGACCCTGGCTCTACGGGTCTCTGTTTCCACCCTGGGCTCCTCCTCCATCAGCATCGTCTCCGACAGTTGGCCCCCTTACCTCTACCATGGCTCCTCCTTCCGTCAACTCCGCCGTGGGCCTCCTTTCTGCCTGGTCTCTGGGTCTACATCTGGCTCCTCCTGCTCCTGGCTCCTCCATCCATTATCTCCTCAGCATTCCTACCCTTGGCACACTCTGCATCTTCCTCCAGAGTTGCCCCCTTCCTCCTCAGATGGTCTCTTTACGGCATGAGGTTGCGCCTTCTGGGGGGGAGGAGCTACTGTTACAGTTATGGACTTTTGGTTGTGTTTCTCTCTGTTCCTGTTCTCCTGCCTTGTTTAGTTCTGTTGCCTGTAGCGTAACAAATAATATAATATATTACATTATATTAATATCATATTTCCACAAGGGACCGATTGAAAACTGCCTCTTGTCACCCATGGAGAGACACAAAGTACAGTTTAGTATATAAACTATACAGGAGCACTATATATAGTATATAAACTATAAAGTAAACTATACAGGACCAGCGCTCTCAGAAAGTATTACATTTATTTGATAGACAGTTCTGTTAATGAGGACATTTCTCTGAGGAATTGGACACCAGATCACCTGGTGGGATTTCAGCCCTCTTTGCAGTAGTTTAAACTCTACACATAATTCCATGATGTTGGTATTAAGAGTAATGTCTGCCACCCGAACAGTGAAACATATCTCCGCTTAGAAGGAGTAATGAGCTTTATAATGCTACTAAATGATGAGATTAGAGATTACAGCCTCATAATCAGGTCAGCGTGTTCATCTGAGGAGAAGGACACCCATCCGCCCTCCGGAGCTCACAGCATATGAATGCACACACGTGCAGGTGTACGTATGCACACAGATATGTTAAGTCTATACATAATAGGAACAAACCTGTGTGAACAGTGACTGAAGACATGTAATTGTATCCATAGGTCTGAGAGCAGACTTTTGAACCCTGCTGTATTTATCCTTCATTTCCACATAACATGATTAGTTTGCCACTAATTCCCTCACACAAAAGCCTCAGGAAGTGTTTCAGAATTGCAATAAATGAAAAAAACAAGGGGCTGGTAAGTTTTTATTCATCTGGCGCTCAAGGCTCATTTCATAGATCGGTTACATTCATATTTCCCACAGCCATCTTACTGAGAACAGAGAGATTAATACTGTGTTTCAGCACAGCGGGTAATGGGACTGATGAAGATAAAGTAGAAAGGAGTAGCTGAGAAATTTTTGGGTAAAGTCCAGAAACATTTTGTCTAGTCCACTGCTTTCTGCTTCACTGCTTTATCTGTACTGTCGGACAGTTTTTCATAAAAGCAACTTTAAAAAAAAACCTAAGCACTATAAATATTTATACTCTAAAGGTCCTTATTGTATAAAGCAAAGTATCAAGAGAAGTTAAGGCAAGCTTGTCATCCTAAGACCTATAAACAGAACTTCAGCTCTTAAACACAGCTGTCTCATGTCACTACATTTAAACTTAAGCTAATGTTAAGTAGAAGCGTGTACCAATGGAATTCTTATTTGATCAACATCACGATTTTAAGATTAATAATTATATGAGTATAAAAAAAGTATATTTCAGTCAAGACAACCTTTGGAGTAGTTTAAGTATATTAATTAATTTGTTCTTGGCAGACTAGATCTAGTCTACTTTCCTGCTGCTGTTATTGCTGCTGCTGCTGTTATCACTGCAAGAGCAGAGCAAGTAGGCAGACATACACATAGACATAAACAGACATGCAGCTGCTGCACAAATATAGATATATAAAATGGTCTGTAGCTGATTTAGACAGGCGGTGCTGGGGGAGGTGGAGGTTATCAGAGGTACTCTGATAGCATGCTGCTGGACTGGCTTAACTCTCTTCAAGCTCTGAACCAGACTATTTAAGTGTTGACAAAGTAAGCTCAATGGCTGTAGTTACAGCTGATGCAATCAGCTTGTGGCATGTAGTAAACAATGTGATTGCTAGCAGATTACATGCCAAGGAAAAATCAACCTGTGTCATGTAGTTTCCTGAGTGAACTGGTAATGTGATATAAAAAAACGTTATGTCTTTGCACTGTGCATTTTTCTGGTATGCACTGAGCACTGTATTTTATGGCCTCTGAATAAATACTTTTGAAGATTTTTTCTAGAAGATTTTTTTCTTGAAGAACATTGTGTGTAGGCTTTCATTTCTTTTTTATAAAAAAGGGCATGAAAATGCTATAAAACAGTTGTAGATGACGTATTTCATGTTACACCGCAGGATGTCAATTTCTCAGAAGTATTTTACATCAACTACCTATTTACAGTATCATCAGGACAAATATTAAACCTGGAAAATCAGCACAACTAAGAGTCTCAATTTATCTCACACACACCAATACAAAACAGCTGGAAGTTTATGTCTTCACCCTCAGTGCATTTCTATTTGATAGTGCTAGTTAGGTATTTTGATTGCTTTGCATGAAAAATGAGACATGTTCAGATTTTTTTTTTTTTTTATCATCCACCAGGTGAAAATCATTCTCTGATTGCTTAGAAAAGTAACACCTTTCCACACAAAACCACAAGATTTGAGGTTTAATTGTTATCTCTCCAAATGTTCAGGTTGAGTTACATACAGTTTCAGAAAAAAGGTACGAAGCTGTCACTGGGACTGTACCCTTACAAAAGGTACTAATATGTACCTTTAAGGTAGCAATATGCCCCATTTTAGGATAAATAAGGTACAAAGGTATACCTTTTGAAAGGGTACTACTCCAGTGACAGCCTTTGTACTTTTTTTGAGTGTACCAAAGTGATACTTCTAAATGTATTTCATTGTCTGCCAAATCAAATGGATACACACTTACCTGTCTGCTGTCATGTTTTGAGGAGGAACTGCTATTGCTGTGAGATGGAGAGGAGATCTTCTGTGACATGGTGGAACTTTTCTCCTCTGAGCTCATCTCCTGCTCTCAGTGAGAGGAAGAATGTAAAAAGGAGAGGAAGAGGAGGAACTGGAGGAGAGGAGAAGAGGGAGGGAGAACTGACAGCTCAGCAGTTGTGGGTCTCCATTTGCTTGTTCTTCCAAAGCTTGGACACAGTGTTCGAGCCTGTGGAGAGATGAAGAGAGAGAGAAAGGGTTGATCAGGAGATGTATGTGAAAGGCAACCACAACACGATGTCAGGCTTTCATCTGTACAGGTAATGAACCTCACTCTCCCACCACAGGATATCAAACAGCAGAATTATCTGAAAGTATAAAGGCTTGGTCAGCACTCAGCAGGACACACAATCTGTGGGTTGAGGAAAGATGCCAGCATGAATCACTGGACATACTATAGATGTCATCCCCGGATCATCTACCTCTCACTCAGCTTCTTATTAAAGTTATGAAAGTGTGGGGGCTACACTGAACACACACTGACTCTATGAATCTGTGCTTCATTTATAGCAGTAACAGACGTCAGAGATCGTCGCTCTGTAGTAACCGTCCTTCCTTCCCTGTCTTCCCTGTCTATCTCATCCACGCTGCTCTGTCTTCCTCTCCGTCTGGTTCTCACATGAATCGAGAACCAAATGCAAATGTCCTCTTGCTTTGTGTCTGGGTTTGTTTGAAGTCATGTGTCACGACAGCACCATATGCATACTCGTGTTACAGCATCTGTGCTGGTTATTAACGCAGGTTACAGGGTGTGGGACATATGTCACACACACACACACACAAAATCTGTATAAATTCACAAAACTATCACAATGAAGCCTCTTTCACACAGAAATTCCGGAAAATACACGGATAATGTGTTTTGTGATTTGTCGCGGGATCATTTGATTTTGGTTCATTCACACTGCAGTGATTTTCCGGAATCTGTGCGTTCACACACATACAGTAAAGATCCCGTAAAGACACGTGACATAGGATTTGACATGTAATGTGACGCGTAACATTCCACTAAGCTGATATATCTGATATATCACCAAGGCAGATGTATCATATTTTGTATTTCTTTTAAATTAGTAGCACAATTGTTATTCAAGTGTTATTTACATATCACGTATATCAGTTTTTACTTACCATCAGCCACCAAAATATCCATATTGATCAATTACTAACAACACAACATTATATTATATTATACAGTATATGAAGAATTTTTTTTTTTTTGTTTATGATTTGCAGTAGTGAGTCTTATGTGCAAGGCATTTGTTGCATTTTATATTAGCTGAGATTTTTTTTTCTAGCATGCCTTTTGATGCCATTTTGAAAAGCATATTCCAGTCTGTCTCTGACTTTTCTTCATTATGAGCAGCAGCACAGGTTACAATGTGGGACACAGGAATGCAGCAAGGTTAATTAGATTAGTTTTGCACTCAGCAAACCAAACACCCCTTCATTTCCTTCGGCCTGTGCAGTGAATGTCAATAAACACACATTTTCTTGCAAATCTCTCTCTCCCTTTCTCGTTCACTCTTTCTTATTTAAGGGAAACTATACTTCAGCTCAATCTGTCTAAAATTTATCTTCCCTGGGAGTAGGATACGACACAGGAAACTGTGAAAATGAGCAGTATGTCGACTCTTTAGCTAATGTGCATCAGCATCATGCGTCAGCTGCACATTGACATACTAAGATTTAATCACTTCCTGTGAGGATGGAGTAATCTATGTTTCTAAATGCAGCAGTGTGGAGAATAACCAGCCTCAGTGCTCTTGTGTTAATTTTACCCGACATGCTATGACATGAATGACTGGAAACCTTCATAGACTAGAGGAACACATGCTGACGTCCTGTCATTGAAATATGTCCTATCATATAACATCCATCTTGCATCCAGAGTGGATAGCCAAGACAGGTTGCCATTTACACCTGATATTGCCATGCATTGAAATGGTTCTCCTGGCCCCACTTGTGAATTTTATCAATGAGAGGGTCTCCTACAATTCACTACTGTTGAACCCAAATTGCTTGCATTTTATTCTCACCACAAATGTGATATTTACACCTGCAGTTACAGAAAGGGTGTTTGTTAAGCGCTTTAATTGGTTAAGTTTTAGTATTTACACTTTATACCTTTACAAGGTTCTGTTGCGACCCTGAAAACACCAAGAGAGATTTGTTGTTTATTTCTAGATGTCATTTTAGGTGGAAAAAACAGCTGGATATTCTCATTCAACTTTCTCCTTTTACATTTGAGTTTGTGTGATTCTTTTCATCTCAGATGAGTCAAATCAGTCAGCGTGAAGTTGATTGTTTGAATTGTATGGCAACTTCCTAAACCTCTTACTGAGCAATTGAGGATACAGATATGGCTAATTATGGTCGCAGCATGTAGTCAGTTTAAGTAGCTGTAGTGACTGGTTTGTTCCGGCAAACAGACTCCTGGTTGTGAGTAAATGGCACTCTCCACTGCTGCCTGTCTCACCTCACCCTGCGCCACTTTAGAAGCCAACAGAGAGCAGCTGCCTCCGTGTACCACCCCTATTATTTATTCATTCACTTTCCACTGATCACACTCAACACACACACACACACACACAGGTTTGTTTTTGTGAAAAGTGGGGACATCCCATAGGCGTAATGGTTTTTATACTGTACAAACTGTATGTGCTATTGCCCTACACCAACCCTACCCCTAAACCTACCCCTCATAGGAAACTTTGTGCTATTTCAGATTTTCAATACACTCCATTCTGTGTGATTTATAAGCGTTTTGAAAAGTGAGGACATGGGGTAATGTCCTGAAAAGTCAACTTCTCCTTGTAATACCTATGTCATACCATTGTCATTATACAAATGTATGTCCTCATTTGTCACAAAAACGCGCACACACACACGCACACACACACACACACAGGTTTGTTTTTGTGAAAAGTGGGGACATCCCATAGGCGTAATAGTTTTTATACTGTAGACCGTATATTCTATTGCCCTTCACCAACCCTACCCCTAAACCTACCCCTTACAGGAAACTTTGTGCTATTTCAGATTTTCAATACACTCCATTCTGTGTGATGTATATGTGTTTTGAAAAGTGGGGACATGGGGTAATGTCCTGAAAAGTCACCTTCTCCTTGTAATACCTATGTCATACCCTTGTCATTATACAAATGTATGTCCTCATTTGTCACAAAAACGTGCACACACACACATATTATACATGCAGCCATATACGTAGACACTTATATACCCACATACATAAATAGTTGACATTGTGGGAAGTTGACACATTCTGTATTATGATATACAGTACCCCACCTAAAAACCTTTCAACTGTATTTTTCTAATTCTTTAAACATTATGCATGCAGCTTTAATAACACAATTTATTATAACAGGTATTTATTAAAAATTATCTATTAAGTATTCCATCATCATCATGACCAATTAAATACTTTAAAGCAACATCAATACACATTTGGACAGTTTATTGACACATTTAGAAACTGTTTTAAGCTTGTCACAACAACAAAAAATTAACCATATTAAAGGCAAAAAGTTGATCAAAATGGTAAAAAAAAAAATCATAGCACCTAAAATATTCACTTTCATTTACACCCAGTAAAAACATCTTTCTGCATTGATTACTCATAAAATGTGGTCTGATCTAGTCACAAATGCTGTTTATTCTTTCACAAACACTATTCTTGTTCAGTGTTTTTCTGACAGTAGACACATGAACAAAGACTTCCACAACTTTGTAGCGCTTTCTGGATGTCTACTGCTGTTATTCATGAGTTCTTTCTCACTTCTTTCAGTATTGCATGCTGTGTTCTTCACATGATGTCCACTTTAGGGAGAGTAGCAAGTCCAGAAGAGAGCAGTCCAGGTTTTTAGCAATGCTTTTGTAGCCTTTTCCAGCTTTGTGCATCATTTAAGATCCTGTGAAAGCTTTTAAGATTGAGGCAGGGTTCACATAACAAATATTTCTTAAAGGGGTCATATGATGCGATTTCAATTTTTCCTTTCTCTTTGGAGTGTTACAAGCTCATGAAAGAAATTAAGTCATATACACCTAGGATGACTTGCGGGTGAGTAATTTATGGGATAATTTTCATTTTTGGGTGAACTAACCCTTTAAGTTGTATTTTTTTAACCTTAAACTGCATAAACACATTTCATTACACCAAATACACAAAATAATGTTCTTTTTAGCAACATCATATGACCCCTTTAAGACGAACGGATTTGTCAGCAAACAGGCTTTGTGTGGCTATTATTTAAAGGGCACCTGTGCAACTCACACTTCCAATCTCATTTTCTTTAATTGACTCCACTTTTTTCTAGCTTGCCCTGTCAATGATGACTCCGTGTCCTCAATAAAATTTTGAAAAGTGTTATTATTTTAGTCAGATTGTGTTTCTCTATAATTGTGACTTAGACAAATATCAGACCACATTTAATGAGTAAGCTATGCAGAAATCCAGATAGAATTCACAATTCAATATTAGAAACAATATTAGAAAATGGTCATGATAATGAACAACAGTTCAAATCAACTACCTGATTGCAGAGGAGGATTTGTTCTTTAAAGCATTTTTTTTCTGCTTAAATTAGTGGGGTGATCTTTAGTTGTTACAGTTTGCATGGAAAAACTCTCTGTTAACTAACTGTGGTAGCTGTTTTTGAACACAAAAACACATCTGAAGTAAACATCCCTCTAAGAGATACATCCAACTGGGATCAGTTAAACATGAAACCAACCTAATTATACAGCTCAGACAGACTGAGAAACATCAAACATCTTATACATTTCTGTCCAGGAAAACTGTACAGACAATAAAGTAAAGTAGTAGTAGTAAATCAGACTGCACAATATTTATATTAGCTAAGACTTTGGTCATCGTTGACAGCACTGACTGCCATCATTTCTGATGCTCATTTACACACAGAATCTAAAAAGTACAGCAAAAACTCTATTAGAGCTTGTACTAATACTGGCAATGTTTTGCCTGGAAAAGAAGGAATCTGTGGACTGTTCATACCTTCTTTAAAGCAAACAGAACATAATTTCGATGGTACAATCATAATGTGAAGAAAAATTCAAATTGTAAACTCATATAGTGTGCATCAGGCTTAAGACCAATTAGTCAACTATTCGTTTAGGTAATTCATG